AAAATTACGTGACCAACGTTTACATGTGTTCCATCAAATTCACGTGCTGTGGGCATCGATATTTGGAATAAGCTAAATTTATATCTTCGCCAGTAAACATCAACAAATAACCATTTCTGCACCCGATTCGAGAAAAATCTAGTGTAGATGGTGTAGGTCGAGAGATTTATTTCTTGTTAGAAATTGTATAAATTAGTAGCGATTAAGAACTGCAAAAAAATTTAAAATTGGATTCTTTAAAAAAAGAAATGTGGAAATTCGAAATATTATAAAAAATGTATTATACGATATCGGCCAGTACATATACTGTAAATACACTCCGAAGATCACGAATCATAGCGAGCAAACATTCTAAAGTAATATAGATGGAGCGCCAGGCAAACGGATGCGCGAATAGAGTGAGACCGCAGGCATGGTAAAGTAAAACAAGCTACATTGGTCGTCGGTGTGACTTGTTTCGCTTGTGGTTGTGCCGATGTCATGTTCTCTTGCTCACTCGTCACGTCCTCTCTTTGTCTAAAACTATGAGAACAACACCGTTTAGTTGTGAAGCGTCAACCAATCAGAGAAGCAGTTTCTCTACCTGTTTCATAATTTTAAGCCGTTTGCCCTCGCCTTGGCTTACTATGGCGAGGCACTACTGCATACAGCACGCAACATGCGGGCACGGACACCACAGTTAGGGAGCGCTGTCCGCTTCTGTGGGTGTTTGTACATTCATATCGGTGTCATATCGTGACTTTTCGTGTGCCGAAATGTCGCGTGTCTTTCTCGATGTTCGACATCTTAAAATTCCAGGGTTTGTGGAAAATGTACAGAAAACAGTTCCTTTACAGCCTCCACGCGTAGACTCGTCCTCAAGATAATGTCTCTTCTGTCTCCCATCCTTGTAAAGCCTTCCCATTCCCGGTGTCTAACGTAGGCTCGAATAGCGTAACTTTAGTGACATTTTCTTTCGAGAAACATATGTACATACACCTTCTTTGATCTTGCCTTTAATATTCCATATGTTAAAAATCGGTTTCTGTAATGTTTTTTCGCAAATAAAATAGGTTACTTATTACGTATAATGAATAAGAATGGTCTAAAGCATGTCGTGTTTGGTATCATTTTAATCGGAAAAATGTGACCAATATATTAAAAAAATTTTCATGTACAAAAAATTAGAAATAAAAAAGTGAAGTCACCGTTTTTATTCTATTATTACAATATACACTGACTGTTTCCGATGCTAACGGCTGCCTTACATACATAATATACAATAATAGTTTCGCTCGACTCGAGAGCGAGAGCGACAATAAAGGCGAGCCGCGAGGTTTGAAGAAATCAACTGTAGCCTACTACTCCTCACACGTTGGAATCCGGTTCCGGCGACGAACAGGGAGATTTTTCTGTACTGTTAAAAAATTCTGTAATATCTTCTCTACCATACTGTGCGGCTAAATCCACAGAACTATTTCCATAGTTATCTCGAATGTCGATGTTAGCTCCTTTTTCCACAAGAAATTTTACCCCATCTATATAACCTCGTTTAATAATGTAATGCAAAGGTGTAAAACCCTTATTATTTCTTGGATTAATATTAGCACCTTTGTTTACAAGTAATTTTACAACATCCATATATCCCTTTACAGCAGCTTTATGTAAAGAAGTCTCACCGTATTTATCAAACGCATTTATTATAGCGCCTCTGCTTATTAGAAATTCTGCTATCGCCAGGGAGCCTTTAGAAGCAGCTTCGTGTAAAGTAGTCCAACGGTTATCAATTCTTCTAGTATTTATATGTTGTTCCATACCTTTTTCTTCTATAAGATATTTTACCAGATCAAAATTACCACTGTGGACAGCCAAATGTAACATAGTCCTGCCCCCTCTATCTTTAACGTTAGTATCCAATCCTTTTTCTTCTATAAGGTATTTTGCTACATCTAAATGACCTCTTTCAAGAGCTGGACACAAAAGAGTGTGATCATTTTCGTCACGAAAGTCCATATTAGCACCTCTATCTTCTATAAGATATTTCAACACATCCAGTTTACCAGAAAAGGCAGCACCTTGAGACGGAGTTCTGCCCTTTTCCGTAGCAATATTAACATCTGCACCTTTATTTACCAAGTACTCTACCACGTCGTACTTGCACATACCAACAGTGGCAAGGTATAAAGGAGTCCAATCATGTTTGCCAGCAACAATACAATCAACATTTTTCTCATCTACTAAATACGTTACTATTTTTAGTCTGCCATTTGTAGCGGCAAGGTATAAAGGAGTCCAGCCATCGTCATCAGCAACATCGAAATCGGCATTCTCCTCGTCTATCAGATATTTTACTATGTCCAGATGATTATTAGCACAAGCATAATGCAACGGAGTCCGACCAAAGTTGTCAGTAACCATGAAATTAACATTCTTCTCATCCACCAGATATTTTACTATGTCCAGATAACCATTATAAGAAGCATAATGTAAAGGAGTCCAGCCACTTTTGTCAGCAAGCGTAAAATTAACGTTCTTCTCATCTATCAGATACATTACTATTTCTAGTCTGTCATTTTGAACGGCGAGGAACAAAGGAGTCGAGCCATCATTGTCGACAACGGTAAAATCAGCATGCTTCTCATCTACCAGATATTTTACTATGTCCAGGTGACCATTAGAAGAAGCACAATGTAAAGGTGTCCAGCCAGAGTTGTTAACAACCATGGAATAAACCTGCTTCTCATCTACCAGATATTTTACTGTGTCTAGATGACCATTAAAAGAAGCACAGTGCAAAGGAGTCATCTTATCATTATTTTTGATATTGATATTAGCCCCTTCTTTCTCTAGAACTTTCATTATTTCTATGTGACCATGGCTAGCTGCGCTATAGTATGGAGTATTTCTGTATTCGTTTGGTTTATTGACATCGCCCTTGTTACATATGAAAACTCTCACTATTTCCAAATGGCCGTTGCTAGCGGCCAAAAGTAAAGGAGTACTTCCGAGGGTATTCGGTTTATCAACATTTGCTCCTTTGCTTATTAGAGCTTTTACTATATTAATATGGCCGTTTCTAGCAGCTAAACATAACAAGGTTTGATGTACGTCAGACTGTCGACATAAATCACTGTTGTAAATACATTCAAATAGATAATCGACATCAAAACAATTCTTTTCCCACTCTTCATACGTGACTGGATCTGCTGCTTTTAATTTCTCCTTTATTTTTTCAATAACAGTACTTCCACTCAAATCGCTGTCAGCGTTTATCGCTGTTATTATTTCTAACCATTGTCTATGTTCCATGATGTCTATCTCAAATGTGTATTTTTTTCGTATCTGTTTTTGTGATTTATTATTATTATTGAAATGGTATTATCCGGAGACGATTTTTGTTAGGAATGAACAAGGAACTCAATTCAAGTACAAATACAATATCTACAGCACTCCCTCTCCGTGATTGTAATTTCTGTGCGTCATCACTAACGCCATGACATTGCTGCGGCTCTATAATTTATCGACTTTTCCGCTACGTCGATACCAAGGTTCGACATCACGCGGCGCGGCTCCTTTGATTTGAATTCCTGAAAGACAACTCATAATACAGTGACATAACTTTCTTTAATTTTAACATTTTAATACTGATTTTTGTTCAACACATCGGTGATAGTCCTCTTATTAAAATGAGACCAAACATGATATAATTATACAGACAGATATTTCTGATTACAATAAGATCAAAAACAATGTGTAATTCATTTGATTCTATTATCGCTATGATTGTACAAGTAAAATACATTGTCATACATATTAATACTAACTGTACATTATAATTGTACATAATTAGATAAGTGGAGAATTATATTCTACATTTAAATTATTTTGTTGCGTCATCATCCTTGGAATTGTCTAGTATCGTGGCCTACGGGCGAGAGAGAAAAAAACCATACTAGAGGAGTACATAATTGCATGTACAGGAAAATTACATATACGGACGCATATCGCCGATGAACGAATACGCATCCGATAGTAATTAAATAAGCGTAACTAAACTTGTCAAATTCTTTGCTCTATATTATCTATATCATGAATTCTGACATCTAAAAGGTATGGCGTCATTCGACAAAGAGGAAGGTTCAGTGCAGTGCGTGAATGCCGGACTTTTATCCAAGAAGCTAATCGAATAACATAAAACTGCTTGAATTCCATGGCTTCAGCATTGTCAATTTTTATCTTATTTTCTAAGACTTACATTTCCAAATATCTGCATTCGATAGTTGGCATTCACGCACTGCATTAAAACTGCATTAAACCTCTTTCGTATGACACTACTGAACAGCGAAAAAGATGTTGATATAAAGTAGTTAAATTTTGAGCCCGTAGACCCATGTTTTCGTCTCATTTTGTCGGTAACTGTGTCCTCTACATTTATCGGATCGCTACGTTGTCTAGCCCCTTAATAGATACGTAATAGGTTCTATCTTAGTAATTAATATATTTTGTTAATGAATATCGCATTTTTTTTGAGAGATTGAAAATTTATATTTACGTAACACCATGTTATTAAAAAATATAATTTTCATAACAAAAATATGATTTTTATACAAATTTTCCACATTGTTCATGTGTTATTTTAAAGATTTAAAATATTGAATGTATTATACATTGACAACTGTTATTTTAAAATAATTAATATTTTGCATCATTATTATTTACAATCAAATGTTCACATTATAAATATGGAAAGATTTTTGCTCTTACTTAAGACTGTATCTTTTCTTGTAGTAATTTTTCCAATTTGCGAACGTCTACTGCAAACTTGCGAATACCATCGCTTAATTTGTCAGACGCCATTTGATCTTCATTAAGAAGCCACCTGAACTCAGCTTCATCCAAACTTATCTTTTGAAGATCGCTTTTCTTAGCCGATTCAACCGAAAGTGCTTTACGGATCGGTTCATTACTCTTTTCTAAATCTTCCAACAATTTCGGGCTAATGGTTAAGAAATCGCAACCGGCCAGTTCTTTAATTTCACCTAAAGGTTAAGAATTGTGCAACACATTACTTGTATGTGTAATTAATGTTTGAAATATTTTTACGAAGACAAGACACTCACCAACATTTCTAAACGAAGCTCCCATAACAACAGTTTTGTATCCAAACTTTTTGTAATAATTATAAATTTTAGTTACAGATACAACACCTGGATCTGCTTTAGCTTCGTATGATTTCTTATCCGTGTTCGCTACATACCTGAAAATTGATTTCACTATATGTATCTTTACGTTGAAGTGTAAATTTACATCAAAAATTATTTATCAATGCTTCATATTTAAATTTGTGGTATCTCACCAATCCAAGATTCTACCAACAAATGGTGATATGAGAGTAACACCTGCTTCCGCACATGCTACTGCTTGCGCAAAAGAAAATAGAAGTGTTAAATTACAATGAATTCCATATTTCTCTTCCAATTCGCTACAAAAGTTGAAACATTTCATAAATTTGTATTTCAATTAATTCTGTTGATGGTAAACTTTTGTGCTTACTTTGCCGCTTGAATACCTTCCCAAGTAGACGCAAGTTTAATCAACACACGATCTTTGTTTACGCCAAGTTCTTCGTACAAACTAATTAACTTCTTTGCTTTTTCAATGCTAGCTTCTTTATTAAAAGAGAGCCTAGCATCTACTTCTGTAGAAACTCTCCCAGGCACAATGTTTAAAATCTCTTTTCCAAAGAGAACACATGTAATATCTAAAGCTGCTTCAACTTGTTCTGCCAAAGTGCTGAAACAAATAAGTAACTTTATAAGTTCATAATTCACTTGAAATACGTTTAGATACATAAAATCATTATAAAGACTATCCATTACCACTATAATATTTGGTAAACGCTTCTTTTTCATATATATTTTATTTACGTTCTCCTTTTTGTTTCTCTTTACAAATTTTAACATTCCTCCTTCTTACCACTAATTCTTATGTAATTTAATACATTTTCGTCTAAATATTATCCTTTATAC